TTCAGATGATTTCTTACCTCAATGGGCTTTTTGTGCTCAAAGCTTCTTTTTGGTGAAGTGTTTTTTTCAAGATTTTTTTATTACATGGAGAATGGTAGCTATAAAATGTGAGCTGCAAAATGGACTTAAGAGTTGCATCCTTCTTCACAATTTAAGATTTTTTTACTCATAATTAGATAAAGAGCAGTTAATACAAATCCCTAGAAATTATTTTACTTTATCGAACAGTGTTCTTTCTGTAATTTAAGAAATAACCAGCTTATGTATTTAGCAACCTTGCATGATATTAACTGCAAATTATTATTTTATTGTTTGTTTTTCTCCAAAACTATATATTGCTGCCAACTTACACCAAACTATTTCTTCGTTTTACCATGAGCCCTTGTATATATCTTACAGACAGAGGGCAACATTCAATAGTAACATCATCTCACCTATCCATCCTACTCTGTGATTCCCACAGGCCAGGTTATCTCCCAGAACTCTCTTTAAATTGTAACAAAGACATTTTCCTTAAAACTGATGGTATAGAATAGTCCCCTGTAATTTTTCATGTTATTTATATAATTTCCCTGGTAGCACACTGTGCTATTATATGCTATAAATCATATTTTATTTTGGAAAGAAGTGCTGGTGGGGTTATTTTTAGGTCTAACTCTGCTTCTGCTGATATCCAATCCAGCTAAGAAAATAGCTGTAGGAACATTTAAAATCTCACATACAGCATTGGTATGACATCCACATTACGAATGTTTTGGGAACAGCAGCACTATAGGAGTAAAAAATACACTACTCCTTAAAGATTATGTGTCCTGAACATATACATAGCTGCACTTTTAAACTACTGAGAAATGAGAAAGGGGATTTACTTTTCCTAAGCACGATTTCTGTGGCCTTTTTCAGGCCAAGTAAATTGCCACAAATTACATTTACATGACATTTCAACCTAGTTACAGACAAATCCATTGGAAAATACAGTATCTGACACCAACAGGATTTCAGAGGTACATTACATTACACAGAAGCCTGTAACTTCTATTTTTTTCCAAAGACCAAGAGTATACTTTTCTTTTACAGAGCTGTTATTACATAACCCAGAGTTGAATGCAGAAATGGGAATTTTAACCTTAGAAAAACTGCCTATTTTCTTTGCTTCATGCTTTAAAACGTTCATAACTGAGCAGTTAAAAATGGACCAGTAGAAAACGGTAGAACCGATCAAGTATTTTTACTGGGGTACGAAGTCTTTTAGACAGTAAATAAAGGAAATTTGGTCAACGAAGCGGCAATGTGACATCTGGTGTGCAGTTTCACAGTCTTAGGGCATCATTCTGCTTCTATCTGGTACCAGCATGAATCAGGAGTAACTCACGTAAATTAAAAGCACAGCCCAAAGCAGTGTGGAGTCAGGAGGAAGCACTCTCTGTTCCAGTCTGAGTGTTCCATACCTGACTTAAGAGATCGGCTCGTTTACAGAACCCTACATTAGACATATTGCCTTCTTGTTTTAAAATATGGGTGTTTAATATTTAATTTAACAGAATTCCATATTCCAGTCTCTGTGTACTGTGCAGGTCCCTTTGAGGCTCGTGGTTTGTATGTGCAGTCACAATTCTCCTCAAGTGTAATTTGGAAGCACCATTACCTAATGGAGTGGAAGGAATTATCTGGCTCTGATTAATCCAGGTTGTCTTTGGAGTGAGTAATGAAAATAATGCCCAGCCAGTGTCAATTTGTAAAGTGGGCTGTAGGAGTTGAGCCAGGCTGTCCAAAACTCATTTAATTTATTATACATTTCCGTGGAATACTGGTGGAGGTACAGGTCTCATCAATTGTCCACACACTTCAAGCACACACAGGAATTTGAACTACCAACTTCAAATGACAACAGATTCCAAAATTTTGCCAAGTCTTCAAAATTGGTTATAAAGCTACACACATAGCTATTGCACATGAGACTGAATAAGTATCATAAAATAGGTACTGTAAATGTAAAATGTGCCTGTGCTTATATTTTCACAGAAATATAAAAATTGTTTTAAATTATGTTATGCTGTGAAATATTGCATAGTATTTGCTGAGAAGAGAGACACCAATGATAGGCAAAAAAGTAATTCCACAATTTAAAAGAGTGTTCACAGATTTTGAACTTCTGATCTGTTGGGGCAAACCAAAGAATATCTGAAGTTATCCAAGGCCAATAACAGCAGAATGAAAATAGCAGTTTAAATGGTACCTGGGTGGCCATCTCAGCTCACTTGCAGGAGAGACTATTTTCAAGAACATTTGGCACATCTAGAATGTGGGATAGCTCTCAGAAGTAAAGAATATAAACATTAAAAGGTCAGAAATTGTACAGCTGAGTTATCCATTTAAATGGGAATGGGAAACTTTGCCATTTGGCTCTGATCCATTTTGTCATTCTCCATCCTAATGACAATTACACGTCCCATACCAATATTTCACTTTCAATTTTCATAGAATTAGTGATAGTATTTCAGGAGTTAACGGAGGCAGAGTACTTTCTTTAGAGAAGATATGAAATTAGATTAGAAATTAGATTGCCTTGAAAACATTACATGCAGCAAAATGTGCACTCAGAAAGCCTCCAGGAGTAATCCTCTAGGCATGGCTTCTTGTGACTCGAGTTTTACTTTTCCACAACAAAGAAAAAAATCCCAAACCTTCTGCCTTCTCCAAGAAACACAGCTCAAAACCACATAATCCAGGAGAAGTGAAATTGTTTCAAACACTTCCCCATCCTCCCAATCACAGACTGCAGCAGGGGGCTGTGAAATTCCCCTGGAATGAACCCGAGGGGACCAGCAGCTGCGTGGCAGCTCGACAGATGTGCTGCAGCCTTCCCCTTCCATGCTCTCCCTCCCCAGCCCCGTGCCCAGCATGAGGAATCCAGGGTTTGTCCTCAGATGGCACCTTTAAAATACCTTTCCCCATGTGCTGCCAGGGGTATCGTCCCTTGGCCAGGAATAGAGCTTCTGAGGGCCTCTTTATGCCAATCTGATTCCTCTTATCTTACATAAGGGGCCAGGGCAGGGACAGAGCTCTCTTTCTTAGCTCTAAATCCATCCTATATGGCACGCAATTCTCCAAAGTACAGCCAGCTTCTGCTTTTATGGAGCACTGTGCAGTGAAGAATGAAGGATCCTGTTTTTCACCATTTAAAGATGTATGATAGCAACAAAGCTCTATGTTAAAATATTTAACTCGCAGAGAACTTATGGAAATTGTCTATTCAAGCTCAGCAAAGACATTAAATTACCAAGCTGTTCTAGGACAGTTGTGTGTGGAGAAAAGCCAGAAATGCTCTGAGATTGTAATGTTGCTCACAAAGATTACAGCATGAGCCTGATTCAGAAGCTTTTTTATACAGCTTGGGGAGCTGCAAAATGTTACCATATCAATTTCTGCAAAACATACTGTGTGTGTACATATAGATATAAAAGCAGGACTTATACACAGCACATTTCCTGCCACATTTTGAGTGGCATCTGTTTGTTTAGTGTGCTGAAATATGAAAAATAATATTTAGCAACTACTGGTAACACAATGTTAACAAGATTTAAGAGTATAGCTCTGTCTGTCAAAATGCAGATAAAAGACAAATCCTTCAATCTCTGTGTTTTAATCAGTCAGATCAGAGGTTTGATGAATATGCAAATGTGACTGTTTATACACTAGTTTCAGAGTGAAAGGAAACAAATTCAGTTTCATTATAGAATTAATGACAGCTCTGTCCTCTAAGATTAATAATTAAAGCCCTACACACATTAAGATGATAGTGCTCTTTCCGCCCAGCCTCTGCAGATTTTACTTTTCTATTTTTTAATACCCCTTTCCCTCATAATTGTTTGTCCCCCTAATTGGAATGATTAATAATTAATGCCAGTTCATGGATATGCAGTAGTCATCTTTAGAACAAAAACTGTACTTAACCTACAAAAAGGGTTAAAAAAGTACTTATTTTTTTAAATTCTGTTTTTTACTCTTGCCTGTAAGTTAATTTTTTCTCCAAGTTCTATGCCACCATTGGAATCTCAATGGCCTGCTTTAATGGTGGAAGTCTTTTATTTGTTTCAGTGCAGGGTATAAATATGATTTCATTTTGATGCTCACAATATACGCTGGGTTTCTTTTCAAAGCCCCTGCTGCTGGGATCAGCAGCCTTCACAGCTTTCTGATTCTGAAACACACACTACAAGTTTTGACCAAATCAAATCTCAGAGAAAAGATTAAGAGTGCGGTACAAGTGCATTATAAAGTCTGAGAAAGCAAAAGTTTAAAAAAAAAAAAGAGAAAAGAGATTTGAGCTATTATTTTTTAATCTGATGATTTCTGAGTTGACATGGGAGTGGCTGACTCATGCTTGCCAAATCCCCTGGACAGGCAACATTTCAGAGGAAGATTATAACAAAGTGAACAGAAGTTCAGTCTTACCATTAACTCTCCTTCCTGCTCCAGAAGAACTATGACACTTAATTTTATGTGGCCATTAGGATCTACACAGAGACCACTAAATCCCTTCTAATTGCAATGACCAAAGCACGAATTTTTAAGATAAAAGAAAAGAGCTGGTTTGTGCATGTTTTGCATTATTTTATCAAGAAAAATTGTCTTCTGGGTCAAAAACCCCATATTTCTTTCTGAACAGAAAAGCATTTCCAGAAAGACAAATGGTCAGAGTACTCTAAAAATTACATTTCTTCAATAAAGCTGTTTCAGTTTCATCTTTTAATGTCTTTAGAGGTGAACTAATCCTACACAGGAATCTAGCATTGCCTTGACTCTCGCAAAGGAATTATTTTATGTGAAATTATATTAGCATTTGCCTATATTCCACCATGCACATACACTTCCTCCTTTGTCATTGATAGCAAGAAAACAAATATGTGTGTGTGGGTGCTTTAGCAAGGATGATGAATGATACTCTGGAGGTATTTAAGGGTAGATAGACACCCATAAGGAAGCCTGCTGGTACTTACCACGCTGAGCCCCAGCAATTCCCTGCAGAAGTAGTCCATGTTCCTCCTCTGGAGGTTGTCCAGGTAGTGCTGAAGGCGGGTGTAGGTGTAGGGGTAGCAGTAGGCAAACTGGTAAGTGTCGTCCTCTCGGTCGAAGCAAAAAGCAAAGGACATGACATAGTTCTTCCTGTGGTCTGGGCAGCGGTAGTAATACACATTTTTGGAGGGGATTCTTTGCCTGAAAAACAAAAACAAACAAAAAACCATGTCTGTAAGTTAGTTTTTTCCTCCAAGTTTTATGCCACCATAGGAATCTCAATATGTATTAATTGATGCGTGTCGACACGGACATAAGAGATCTGATCTGTGTGAGATTCAGATTCCCTCCAAAGTAAATGAAGTGCAGCAGCTTGAGCAGCTCAGGAGCTGGCAAGGAGATCCCAGAGCCTGTGTTTGGGAGCACCTGTGCAGACCAGGGCTGTGACAGCTCCAGTGCCACTGCCACCAGAGGGACTGCAGCTCTGCCTGGGTGCCCAGGCTGGCAGAGTCACCACAGCAGGGAGAGCATCACAGAACCAGGAAAACCCATTCCCACAAAGGGAAAAGGATGTCCAGGCTGCCCAAATATCCTCCACTTCACTACCAAGCTGCTGCCACCTCACACCATTCATAACTCATAGATGGCTCCAGCCAAACCTACACCCTTTCTCACAGGTTCAACTCACCAGCACAGAGAGGAGGCACAGCTAATGAAAGAATGTCAGTATAAGGCAACACTGACAAAACTATTACTGAAATTAAGAACACCTTTCCATATATCTATATATCTATATATATATATTCCCTTAATAGTCAGGATACATATCAACATCTAGCCAATGAATGGAACAAAAGATAAATTCTTGAGGTTAAAAAACAAACAAACAACAAACATCCTAAAAATCATACAAGAAAGCTTCAGGTATGGAAAATAATCAGGTCTTAAAATAGAAAGCAAAGGAGAAAAGAGTATTTGGACTGTTAAATTGGACTGCTGCTCTCCTCAACATTTCTGGTTTATCTGACAAGATAGAAATGAATATACGTGATGATAAATAATTATAATAAAGACATGTCATTGTTATCAAGGTGGTATCTCTTTGAGGAATAACAAATATCTGCTTGAAATCTCTCACACAACTCCAATTATTTTCTTACTTTTCAAGAGAAATAAGTAATATTTCAGAGGTGGGGAAAAAACTCATTCTATGGATGAGAGATGTTCATTATTTCTGTTTGAATGCTTTGTTCATTTCTTAGGTGGAATTTCCAGCTTCATTCAGACAGGAATAGTCTCCAATCATGCCATGCACCTGTAATTTGATGTAAGTAAAACAAATATCTGCCTGAAATCTCTCACACAAATTATTTTCTTACTTTTCAAGAGAAATAAGTAATATTTCAGAGGTGGGGAAAAAACTCATTCTATGGATGAGAGATGTTCATTATTTCTGTTTGAATGCTTTGTTCATTTCTTAGGTGGAATTTCCAGCTTCATTCAGACAGGAATAGTCTCCAATCATGCCATGCACCTGTAATTTGATGTAAGTAACTCACCAGTCATGTTTGGCAACAAAATGCTATGGTCCTGCAGACTTTACCTGATTCAATTACACAATCTTATAAACAGGTCTCATCCAATGATTGAAGCAGATCTCAGCTAAACTGGGATCATGGTGAGGGAAAAGCATAACAAGATTTACAGACATAGCACCAGTAATGTGTGTCTTTGTAATCATTCCGAGAAGCTGGCCTGCTGCAGAGCCTCAGTTTTGGCCTCTCATTGCTAATATGAATTAGAGGACAAAACCCACTCATTATACACAGGTACATGTTTGCCAATTAGCAGCAGTTAACGAGTCTGACCAGCAAGACTCAGGATCTACAAAGAGAAACAGAAAGGAATTGAGTTCTTCTTGAGAAAGTAAAATAAAGAACCAGTGATGCAGTTAATTACACTCAGAAAAAGAATTTACCTGCCCTTTTTAATGCCCTGCTTCTTGAACATTCAGGACCTCAATAACTTCCTTCACCATCATGACTGAACACGAGCCAGCTGTGCCCAGGTGGCCAGGGAGGCCAGTGGCACCTGGCTTGTGCCAGCAGTGGTGTGGCAGCAGGAGCAGGGCAGTGACTGTCCCCCTGTCCTGGGCACTGTGGGGCCACACCTCGAATTTAGATTGGATATTAGGAAATATTTCTTCAATGGAAGGGTTGTCAAGCATTGGAAGAGGCTCTCTGGGCATGTGGTGGAGCCACCATCCCTGGAGGTATTTAAAGGATGTGTAGATGTGGCACCTGGGGATGTGTGTTAGGGGCAGCACTGGCAGTGCCAGGATAAATTTGGACTCAATGATATTAAAAGACTTTTCCAAACTAATGAAATCTATGATTTGATGATTTGTTGGTTTTTTTTGGGGGGGGGGTTTGTTTTTTTTTTTTTTTTTTTTTTTTAAAAAAAAACTTCTTTCTTTCACATTTTTTTGTTAAATAAGACATTCGTTCATCACTAAGATCTGCAAATTCTATTTAACACACCAATATAAAAGACAGAAAACCAAACCTTTTATTCTTTTTTTAAAAGTGTCAGTAGGGGAAAAAATACCACCAGCCATCTGCATGCAGCCCTCTTACCTAATGATTTTCTTCAGTATCTTAACATATTTCTATCATTCTCCCTTACTCTGGAGTGCTATAGGACATCCCTCATTTGATCTCAAATCAAGCAGATGATATGGCAGTGGGTAAATGTATTCCAGCTCCCAGTCCTCAAACCATAATGCAAGTTTAAACAGTGTGTTGCTGAGTTGTTGAACTTTATTTGTTTCCAAATTAGCATGGGGAAAATAATAAAGGACAAGCCTCACTTTCTGCTATAAAAATTTCATGTAAAATGAGACCAAGAGGAGGAAATTCAGGATTTTATAAAGGCTAATTCTAATTGAAATTCATCTGCTGATAGTTAATGTTTAAATGACACATAGTTCTCCTTGGTTCAATAACTTTCTACTTTTAAGCAAGTTGAAGACAACTTTGTTAATGTATTAAAGGCACTTTTGATATTTCATTCCCTTTCCCCTTCATTATAAAAGCTAAGCATCTGTTTTATTATCCACTTTGACACATCACTTTATGGCTGCATTTGGCTATTATGGCTAATCTTGATGTCTAGGACATCTGGTATTGACATTTCACTATCTGGTGTCTGACACAACAGCAGAAACCATCCTCAGTTCCTAGGTTTAAATTCACCCTCTCAGGGCAAAAAGTGCCCAAACTCTTAATTCAAACCATATCTTCCAAAAATAATTATAATAGTACTCCTGTCACTGCTAATCTATTTTTATCTCTCCTAGCACTTTGTCACTGCTAATCTATTTGTGAGTCATACAGAGAAAGAGAGTTAGCATTTAGATACCAACAACACATCTTTACACACAGGAGCTTAATCAGATTGAGATCTTATCAGGGAATTAAAGAAGAAAAGAAAAAAGGGAAAGAAAAGGAAAGAAAAGAGACAAAGTGCTAGATATCACCAACTGAGTTTTTGATAACGAAAAGACATTGCTCAGTTCTTGAATTAACCTTTGTGTCCTAGACACACTATTGTTTACTCTTTCCCTTTTTTGTTCTATGCCTTCTGGAAAAGGACACCCACACACTGTGGCAGCAGCTGCTCCTATTAATTTAAAGCTATTACAAAAATTAAAATTAAACCCAATTACTTTGGCTGGTTTATAGCTGGGGAACGGCTTAGTCTGATTGTTCCCTCTGGTTATGGACAAAAACAATATTCCTACCTACAGGCAGCTGCCAGTGGAATACTAATGCATCTAGGGCCTGGCAGGAACAGATTCAGAATGCAGAGTCTAACTGCATTTCTTACTAAAGAAAAATATCTTATCATGGATCTGCAGAAATGCACCAACTTCTTAGCTGTGAGTCACAATGAAGCTGATTTGTAGTTAGAGGCAGGAAAGCAAAATGATGGTGGAAACCTCAGTGCTCTGATTTGTCCCTTTGCATTTCCAGGCAGCTCACACTCAGCAATGTGTCCTGCTAATTGATGCACAACTGCCTGGATCTCTGAGCTCCTGAGTGGTTATTTAAAGGAGAACCACCCCCATTCCAAGCACAGCCACAGAGAATAACGTGCAAACAACTCATTTCCAGTCTGTTTTCTAGAAGTATTTAAAGAAATGAAGCTTGATACCATACATCAGTTTGACACAAATTCAGAATGCCTAGTCTTAAAGATAAACACAAAACTCTTTTTGTCCAAGCAAGAAGGAGACACAGAAAGGGAGAGTTTCTCTCTATTTTGGTGCTAGCAATCCAGTGCCAAAAGCTTGAGCCTTTGAGTGTCTTCTTCTCCTGTCTGACAAGGCAGCACACCCAATCCAGTGGATTTGTTGCTCCAAGTGTGAGTGTGCATGAGCTTTCCTGTTCCTGTGTTTGCAGCAGTGCAGTTTGCAGTCTGGACATTTGCTCTGTTTTAGTAGTTTGAAGTAGGATCAAATCTGTCAGTTTACAAAAAGGAAAAATTAAAATTGTAGTTCTTATCCAGTAACAAAAACCTGACGACTTCAGAGACCCCAAGATTTACTCCTTGGTACTGCAAGAGGCAGCAAGAGGTATAATTCAGAACTTCAAAAACTTTATCCTAACTATGCTTCTAATTTTATATATTCCATACTCTATACTACAATTTTAATTTTAATTCTAAAAATTTTGGCTTTAAAATCAAACTTTTTATTCTCTGTCATGCAGTTTTGGGGTTTTGGCTTTTTTTTTTTTTGTTTTGGTTTAGTTTTTTGTTGGTTTTTTTCCTGCTACTTTCTGCTTTTCTTCATTTGAAATTTGGGAGTTAATCAATGCTTTGGAGGACAAACACTGGAAGTATTGATGGTACTGCTTTGTGGAATCTAAGTTTTAAACATGGAAGTGCGTTAATCAAATCCTCTTGTGGCACCACAGCACAAGTAATTACAAAATAACAATTTTTGGAACGCTTTCCTCTCCCTATTGCATGACCAAAGCAGGGAGCTCTGGCCCAGCCAAATTCCCAATGACTTTAATGAGCAGCATAAATAGTCTTTGGACTGCTTTTAATATGGCACTCATAAAGCAATTATTCAGTCCCTTGCCTCCACAGGATCGGGTTAGACACAACCTAGTCAGGAGACTTCAAAGTAAGAT